ATATATATATATATATATATATATTGATTAGATATTTTGATTTTTAAAACGTGGGAAATAATATTATTTGGTACAAACGAAACCATTGATTGCAGTACTAGGATTGCTTTTTTTTATGATATGTTGTTAAAATAATAAAATTATTTATTTATAGGTTTAATAGGATAACATTTTATTAATAAATAGGAGAATACCCGTTGGAGCCAGGAGCGATCATGGTGCCTTCGGAGATGAGGAAACCGCCGGGAGTGGAGCGTTGGGTGTAATACTCGGCCATCGCCGCGTTTGCAACGCTCCCTATCGCCCTGCACCTCACCATCGGCGCCAACACCACCCTGCAAACGCAAACGCCAAACGCACGAACCGCGATTTGAGATCTCCGGCAACTCGGATCTGATCGCAATTATATATATATCAGAGTCATCGTCGGAATCAAACTGACCTGTGGGAGAGATCGAATCTGCCCATCTTGTATGGAGAGAAGAGCGTGTTTCCGGTGGTGGAGTTTCCCTTCGCCGCCGATATCAGCTCCGCCATCCCTCCGCCGTGTCCGTACGCCGTCGATCTGATGAGAGAGAGAGAAGAGAGAGTTGAAATTGTTTTTGGGAGGGGAGAAATCTTTCTTAATTGATTCAAACTTTTTGCAAAGCACACCTATTTATACTTAATTTCACATTTTAGCACACTTAATTATCACATGTTTACCTAACTACCATACATATTTTTCACACATTTTTTTACTTAATTACCATACATAGTTTTATCACATTTATTACCGTACATATTTATTACCGTACATATTACCACAATTTTATCACATTTTCACCAAGATATAAAATCACATTTTTAATAATTCAACCGAAGTCAAACACTTTTAATTTCTTTTAATTTGTTTCCATAATTAAGTTTATTTCTTATACATTTTGGATATCTTTGGATGAGAAATCAACGCAGCCGCTGACCGAAGACCGAGGTCGTTGAAGAATAAGGAAAAATCATTATGATATATTGTAATTAATTATTATTATTATTTTTAATTGGTTGAATTATTTAGTATGTTTTTTTTGTTGAATAAGACAGACTAAATTAATTAATATGTTTTCTTATGTACCACATGAAGTTTCGCATGTTTTGGCGTTCAAAATAATACAGAGCATATTATTTTTATAATATATACTCTTTTTTTGTTTTAGATTTTCAAGCCATCAATCGTATCGTGTACCCATGTTTTTTTTTATTATTGGTTATTGGATTTGATTACTATTATATTCTTATTGTAAAAATAATTATTAATTCTCTAAAAAAATATTTTTTTATACTTTCTTTCCTATTTTCTTTTATGAAAAATAGAATTGGATTTTTCGATGGTTTGTATTTCCTTTTGGATTTTGTGTTTCACCTTTATGGTATGTGCAATGTAAAGTCGGATTTTTTTATAATTTTTGAATAATACAAATTACACTTAAAAAATCGATATTTTAGGAAATTTTCCCTAATAAAAACAAAAAATACGTGTATTCATACAACAGCAATTTTATGTAAAATCCAACAATTATTGTTATTGATTTGAAGATGGGCCCTTATATGACATATGGGCCTGTAGAAACCCAAGCCCAACTTAATTTACTTCCCAAAATCTACATCCAAATTTTTTTTGGGGGTTTCCAGCCCAATTCTATCTTTCAGAAATGAAAATTCTCATTTATTTTTTTTCTTAACGTTTTTTCATTAACTTCCCATTTGATTTCGATTTCTTTTTATTTTATATAAAAAATTATCAAATCATTTTTAATATATATATATATA